GAGATGGCTCAGAGGTTAAGAGCACTGCCTGCTCTTCCAGAGGTCCTGAGTTCAATTCCCAGCAACCACATGGCGCCCTCCTCTGGCACGTGGGCATACATCAAGGCAGAATGTTGTATACATAATAAATAAATAAATCTTTCTGACCTTGAAAACACACCTAAAATGTCTATGAGTGGCTTTGGTTCCTGTCCTGGAACTCGATCTGTAGACCAGGCTGGCCTGGAACTCACAGAGATCTGCTTGCCTCTGCCTCCCGCGTGTTGGGATTAAAGTCATATGCCACCACCACCCCCCAGCTTCCTGCATCTTTATTATCCTAAATAGTTTTCAGTAATAACTTTCAAGGACTGGGAATGTACATTATTACATTGTTAGCTGCATAGGTACAACTCCTTAAACAAGACTGGAAATTTATGTACAGTCGGGCAGTGGTAGAACAAGCTGATCCAGGACAGGCGCCAAAGCTACAGAGAAACCCTGTCTCAAAAAAACATAAAAAAGAAGAAACCTATGTACAGCATGTTCTAACAACAACAACAACAACAACCCCCTAATTTTTAAAAAAATGTTTATTTATTATGTATACAATATTCTGTCTACATGTATGCCTGCAGGCCAGAAGAGGGCACCAGACCTTATTACGGATGGTTGTGAGCCACCATGTGGTAGCTGGGAGTTGAATTCAGGACCTTTGGAAGAGCAGTCAGTGCTCTTAACCGCTGAGTCATCTCTCCAGACCAAAACCCCTTAATTTTGTATCAATGTACAAAAATATGCAAGAGCAGAAACATATCCAGTATAAAAAACAATCTTAATTTTTGTATCAATATAAAAAACTCCATATCAGTGTAGAATATTTAAGACTAGTAGTTGTTCTTTTAGTGACCATTAATATGACAGAAATTATGCATGTATATATGTGTATATATCCTATACATTTTGAGATAATATTTATACCTTAACCCTTATCCTCTGAGCCATCTTTTTCCAGTCTCAGGGCACTTTCAAAAGTTGACTTCAGCACTAATGTCAACTCTTCCAGGTTGTTGAAGTTTCAAGTCTTTTGTGAAAAACCACAGTCCAGTTCTCCTGACCTCCTCCTGGCTTCAAGTTTGAAGCACAGGTCCAATGCTTTTGCTTTTCACTTTGGTAGCAAGTAACTCCAGTGGCTGATCACTCTACAAGTGTGGCTTCCAGTGCCCCCAGGGTAAAGAGGCACTACCAGGGCCAGAGCCCTTGGGGCTGGGGGAATTGGGCTACATGTCAAAAGCCTGATCTCAGGTTTTTTGATTTAGCATTTTTATTTTTTTTTAATACGTTGGTACCGAGCATTGATCTCACATGCTGAGCTTGCCCTCTCTCACCTAGCTATGTGTAAATTCCTGCTCCAGTTCCAGTTTTGTTGTTTTGAGACAGGGTCTCACTGTCGCTCTGGCTGGCCTAGACCTCGCAGAGCTCACCACACACCCGGCACTCGAGTGTTAGTGTGTTTCTATTGTTTGTGTACCCCTGGCTGAACCGGAACTCACTCTGTAGACCAGCCCGGCCTCCAGCTCACAGAGATCCTCCTGCCTCTGCCTCCCGAACGTGGAATTAAAGGCCCGAGTCTTAAGTTTTTAAATTAAAATTCCAAGAGCATGTTTCTGCCTTTCACGATATGCTCAATAGATCCGTTAGCTTCCGCTTCCGCAGCGCGGGGGTGGGAGGGAGTGGAGGTGGTGGGGGTGGTGGGGAGTGCGCGCGGGGGGAGGGGAGATAGCAAAAAGCGTCATGAGCGTGGTTTTGTCGTTGTGACAAACAAATGGAGAAGTTGAACATGAGTCAAGTCCCCCAAGTGAAGGAGCGATCATAGTTTCCTTTGCCTTTTTGTTGTTGGGTTTCTTTTGTTGGTCCGTTGCTGATGTTTCTGTTTTTTCGAGACGGGTTTCTCTGTGCATATCGGGTCGGAGATGCTGTGAGCTGCCAGGTGAGCGCTGGACGCTGCAGGTGAGCTGCCCCGTTCTCTGCAGGAGCCGCCAGCGCGGGGCGGGGCGTATGCAGATAAGGTATCGCGCAGTGGCTGCCGGTCGGGCGGTGTCGGCGAGGCGCGTCCCGCGCGGTGACCGTCCCGCGTGGGGCGGACGGGGGATGTCCGTGAGGAGCTCGGAGGGGGGCATGAGAGGACGGCGAGGCGGCGTGGCGAGGGCGGTGACCGTCGGTTATAAGTGCGTGTGTGGTGAGGGAAGGCGCGGCCGTGGGGGAGCAACTCATACTTACCTGGCAGGGGAGATACCATGATCACGAAGGTGGTTTTCCCAGGGCGAGGCTTATCCATTGCACTCCGGATGTGCTGACCCCTGCGATTTCCCCAAATGCGGGAAACTCGACTGCATAATTTGTGGTAGTGGGGGACTGCGTTCGCGCTCTCCCCTGGTCTTTCTGGTTGAAGGAAAGAACAGCTTGATGCTGCTCAAGTGTCGCCAAGTGTCTGCTCTGGGATGCGCGGACACTGCTCTAAGTGGGTTTATGATAAGTAAAGTCTTGTTTTCAAACTTGTACGTAGATCTGACTGCGTGGTGTCTTTGGGGGTTCTTTGGTCTGATGCTGATTTTAGAGACTTACACTACGAAGGAGTACGGTGTACTGGCCCAAGCTCCTCCATGGGTTTTGCTTAAAAGCTTCCTTTGCTTCTTCTTTTCTTTCTTTGTGTGTTTTTTCCCCCTTTGTTTAGACACGGTTTCCTTGTGAGACATTCCAATTGACTGTCCTGGAACTCACCCTGTACACAAGGCTGGCCTGGAAATCACAGTTTAATCAAAAGGCGTGCACCATCGCTGCTCAGGTCAACCTGCTTTCTTACAGACTCCGAGAACAACAGCCCCATGAATCACTAAGAAAATTCCCACATTCACCATTAAGAACATGCTCTTCCGGTTCTCCTGCCTATCGCTGATGTTATAGAAGCAGTATCTCAACTGAGGCTCCTGTTTAATCTCAGCCGCACTCAGATGGTGCAGGATCAATGCTGAATTCAAGGTGTACTCACTATATGTCAGCTTGACACAAGATAGTCACTGGAAGGAAGGAAACTTCAGTCGAGAAAATGCCTTTATAATCTCTCTGTGAGGCCTTTTCTTTTTCTTTCTTGCTTTTGGTTTTTTTGTTTTGTTTTTCGAGACAGGGTTTCTCTGTGTAACAGCCCTAGCTGTCTTGGAACTCAATTTGTAAATTTGTAAACCAGGCTTGTCGATTGCGTTTGGGTGGGCTACTCAGTCTAGGGGTTTGTAACCCACCCTGCAATCGGTAATTCCAAGGTTCACGGAGGGGCCCTACCTGGAAGGGAATGAGCTAAGACAGAAGAAGGAGGCCAAGCAGATTTGTCAAAGCCTCCGTTTATTAGGGACGGGTTACAGTTTATATATGGTAAGGAATGGGGGGTAGGGCAAGGGATCTCGCCGCGTGGTTCCGGTCACGTAGCTCGGTCAGGTAGGCCAAGAGTCACAAGTTGCCACACCTAGTTCCCTGGATAGCTGGAATGTGAGGCGGGTTCCTCTAACAGATAAGTTAATTGGGTGTGGGGTTCTCTGCAGACCCCCTAGGGTGATGGTTCCTGTAATGATTGGGGGGAAATGGCTCCTGACATATTCCCCCTCTTTTATATAAAGGCAAGCAGTTATTAAGTGGAGGGCACCAAGTCAGAGTCAACCCTGATGTCAGATTTAAAAGAGAAGGGACTGGGACAAGTAAGACCCTCCTCTCGAATGGTGAAGCAATTTACCTCTCCTGGGAACAGAGGGGTGCCAGATGATTAGCATTAGTTCCTTGGAGCTTCTCAAATAAAAGGTATCTAAGCAGGATTAAAGTAAGCAGACCACAGGGCACCCTGTCTTAGGCTATGTGGAGAGAGTTCCTCGTACCTGGCACCATGCCATGTTGAGCTGGCCTTTACAGCCTCTGTATGGTGTGCTATTCAGGTGAGGATCCACACTAACTCCCGTCATTGGGACCCTGAGTCTATCATTAATGAAAAAACTGTGAGGAGCTCTTCAAACAAAATATATAATGATATAATTTTGGGCACCAATAACTCCATCTTCCAGACAAGAAGAAAGGGCTTTTTCCAAACCCAGTATTCACCTTTTAGTCTGCCCTAAGGTATCCTCCTTCCTAAATGCCTACTCCACATAAAATTATGAGTGCTGCCTGCCAAAAATTAGTGCAGTGTAAAGGGGGTCTAAATCTAAAATTTTTAACATATGCATTAAACCCAAACACTTTACAGCATGTGTCAAACCTTTTCCAACATCTCTATAAGCAGTTACAAATATCATTAGATCAATTGCAGTAAGAGTATAATGACATACATTGTTGTTATCAAATACCACCAGTTCCAGTCTCTGAGCAACAGTGACAGGAACCCCAATCTTCCCCCTTCTTAAGTGAAGAGGCGTTAATATTTTAATTAAAATGAGTTTTGTGTCCCAAAGATTAAAGCAGTCTGATGTTTGGTCTGCACCTCAGCTTCAAAGCAAACCAGAGTTCAAACTGTAGAGGCAGTTAAGCATTTGTGCTTCAGGGCAGGTGGGATTCCTGGGTGAGGTGAACTGGAACTCAGCTATCTGAAGCACATCCTGGCACTTATCTCAGCCCGGTCTCCCTGGACTCTGGAGGCAGGATGACACCCTGCAGAGTGGCGTAGCAGGTTCTGTTATCAGGCACTCTTCTCCTTGGGGGCAGGGAAGGCTGGACCAAGGACCTCTCCAGTGGCCTCTGGAAGTCCTCTGTGGTGTCTGCAGCCTCGACTCAGGTCCAGACTTTTTCTTTCTGTGAAAAAAGCATAAACATACCCTCGACCCCAAATATATATATAGGTCGGGTTTTTTCATAATGCATTGTAAGGGCTTTTCTACCTTGCCTTAGCAAAGGTCAGCTTGGTGTTATCAGGCCAGATCCGTTTGCATCTGGATCTGCTTGTAACTTCTATAAGCTGCTTTGAAGGAGCCTTGTTATGCTCAACAATTTTTATTATTATTATTACCATTAACCATATATGCAGTTCCTCCATTGAAAGAACCATTTGTAAAATTTTTGCACAAAATCCTGTAAGGGATTTTTTTTGCTATAACATTAGCAAAATACAGGCAATGATCTGGGAAAAGATCATCGTTTTTGGCCTTTGAATTGAGGAAAGGCAATTGTCGAGGAATCCATCTTAAAATTATCAATGAATCTATTATTTAGTATAAGAAACATTCATCATAGTCAATATTCTGTCAAACCATTTTTTCAGATGTCATCCTGTCCTCTTATACCAGACAGGCTACTGTTCTAAATTAAGAGTTTAATATCTTAACTAGCAAAACTGGGAAGGTTTAGCCATAAACAGCATTTTTTATAAAACTGTTGTAGAATAAGTTTTACATTTAATATACATACTCTTGCCATAGCTGAATTATAATTAATATACTGTATTTGTTGATTATTATATACTTTACCTGTTGATTTATACTTTATCTGTTTGAGTACCTGTTAGGCAGCTGTTTAAGGCCAGTCTGGGCTACGTGGAAAATCTACAGGAAAAGTAAATAATAAAAAGGGCATCATCAATTGTAGTTTAATTTTCTTGAGTTTTTGTTGTAGGATTTTTGCTTAGGTAATATATATTGTTGTAGGATTTTTATACACTGCGTGAAGATGTATTTGCTGTGGTTGGTATAATAAAAAGCTGAATATGCAGGAGGAGGTATAGGGTTTTCCAGGAAGAAAAAGGAAGAGGCACACGGGAGGTGCCAGGAGACACTGGGAGCGAACAGGAAGTGCAAGGTGACACCAAGTGGTAGAATGTAGATTAATATATAAATGGGTTAAGTAATAGAAGAGCTAGTTAGGAACAAGTCCAAGCCATAGGCCGAGATTTCATAATTAATAACTCTCCTTGTTATTTGTGAGCTGGCGGACCAAAGGAAAGTCTGACTCCAAGTTTATAAAAAGTTTTTTGTGTGTATGGCTGTTTTGCCTGCGTGCATGGATTCCTTTGCACATGTGCACAGTGCTTGTGGTGGCTAGAAGAGGGTGTTGGAGAGCCTAGAATTGGGAGTCACAAATGGTTGTGAGCTGCCATGCGAATGCTGAGAATTGAACCCAGGTCCTCTGGAAAAACAGTATTCTTAACCACTTTTTTTTTTTTTTTTTTGGTTGGTTGGATTGCTTGTCTGTAGTGGCCTTAGCTGGCCTGGAGCCTCAGAGTTTGTATTATTATGTCCCAGATGGTGTGAAAGCAGGTGTACACACCTGTCTGCCGTCGAACCTTTCCTTCCTGCCTGCCTCCCTGCCTCTCCCATTGATTCTCATTATGTAATATAGCTCATCCCAAAATAACTGATGGGTGGGGAGTAGTGAGTGGTGTCTTTGCCCAATAGGTAAAATCTGACCTGCACAGTGAATCAGAACAAGCAAAGTTGGCTGTCTTCCAACCTTTTGTGATTATTACTGCCAAGACTTGATATATATCACGCTGGAGAGATGGCTAAGAGGCAACTCTGCCAGAAAAACTAAACCTAAACTCACAGTAATGACAAACCCATGTAAAACGACCAGCCGTAGCAGAATCCGGTGCTTTTTAAGGCACACAGGATTACCATTCGCAGGCGAAGAACGAAAAAGCTAGGCTGTAACGCTAACGTTACAAAGAACCTATTCTTTCAACCAGTATTGCCAGGGGAGAGCGCGAACGCAGTCCCCCACTACCACAAATTATGCAGTCGAGTTTCCCGCATTTGGGGAAATCGCAGGGGTCAGCACATCCGGAGTGCAATGGATAAGCCTCGCCCTGGGAAAACCACCTTCGTGATCATGGTATCTCCCCTGCCAGGTAAGTATGAGTTACTCCCCCCACGGCCGCGCCTTCCCTCACCACACACGCACTTATAACCGACGGTCACCGCCCTCGCCACGCCGCCTCGCCGCCCTTTCATGCCGCCCTCCGAGCTCCTCACGGGCATCCCATCCGCCCCACGCGGGACGGTCACCGCGCGGGACGCGCCTCGCCGACACCGCCCGACCGGCAGCCACTGCGCGATACCTTATCTGCATACGCCCCGCCCCGCGCTGCTTTTTTTTTTTTTTTTTTTTAATTTTCAAATACTCCCTTACCTCCCCCTCGGGCGACCGCGAGGACGACGGGGGTCTCCCCGACCGCACTTTGTAGCCTAGGATGACCCTATACTTAGGATCCTGGCTGGGGGCCGTCGTCCACTACACTCGGGGATTTGCTCGTGCCGGGCTTTCTCGTCTTTGGTTGGGCCTTCCGTCTTTCAGGCTTCCGGCCTTCAGCCCGTCCTTTCTCAACCGAGCTTCAACCCTCCTCCCAGCTGGCACTGACTCGCGTGAAGCTGACCCGCTGCTCGCCGGCACGGCCCCTTTAATCCACCCCAGCACTCTGGCGGTTCCGGATCGCTCTGAGTTCAGGGCTAGGTATGGATGGTCTACACATCTCCAGTACAGGCCAGCCAGGGCTACCCAGTGAGATCTTGTCTCAGAACCAACAGACCCGCAAACGAGGACACAAACCCATAAACCAGACATAGAAGGCACGAAAGTGGAGCAGTGGGGCCGGAGAAATGACTCGGCAGCTTAGAGCGCTGGCGGCTCCTGCAGAGAACCGGGGTTCGGTGCCCAGCGCTCACCTGGCAGCTCACAGCATCTCCGACCCGATATGCACAGCTCACAGCTCCACCGGATCCGACGTCCTCTTCGGACATGCACAGGTTCGTGCGCACAGGTTGTGGTATGTCACACGTGAATACACGTAAAATAAGATTTAAAAATGTTAAGTGGGGTAGGGGCTCCGTGCGGATACTCAGTCATGAAATCCAGGAGGCGACTTCTCCCAGGTGCCAGTGATCCTGGGTTCCAGGGCCGAACTTCAGGCACCTTCAGAGGCCAGAGGAGGGAAGCCGCTGGTTTGTGAGCCAGCTGACATGGATGCTGTCCCCTCACCACATAATAATCAAAACACTAAACATACAGAATAAAGAAAGAATTTTAAGAGCTGCAAAGTAAAAAGGCCAAGTAACATATAAAGACAGACCTATCAGAAGTACACCTGACTTCTCAGTTGAAATGATAAAAGCCAGAAGGACCGGGTCAAGCGTTATGCAGACATCAAGAGACCACGGGTGCCAGCCCAAACTACTATACCCAGCAAAACTTTCAGTCACCATAAAACGGACAAAACAAGATATTCCAAGGCAGAACCAGATTTCACCAATACCTCTCCCACAAACCCAGCCCTACACACAGTACTAGAAGGAAAACTCCAACTCAAGGAAGTTGGCTACATCCACAACAGACAATAGATGATCTCACAGCAACAAATCCTAAAGAAGGGAAAAACACACACAATAACATCACAAACAACGAAAACTAAAATAACAGGAGCTAACAGTCACTGGTCATTAATACGCCTTAATATAAATGGACTCAACTCACCTATAAGAAGACATAGGCTAGCAGATTGGATGTGAAAGCAAGATCCATCCTTCTGCTGCATACAAGAAACACACCTCAACCTCAAAGACAGACATCGCCTCAGAGTAAGGTTGGGAAAATTTTTTTTTTCCAATCAAATTGACCAAAGAAACAAGCTGGTGAAGTTATCCTAATATCTAACAAAACAGATTTCAAAATAAATCAATCAAAAGAGACAAAGAAGGACATTTCGTGTTAGTCACAGGAAAAATCCAGCAAGAGGAAACCTTAATACTGAACATCTACGCCTCAGATACAAAGGCCCCCTCATAAGTGAAAGAAATACTTCTAGAGCTTAAATCCCACATTAAATCCCACACACTAAGACTTCAGCACTCCACTCTCACCACTGGACAGGTCTGTCAGACAGAAAATTAAGGGAGAAATAAGGGAACTAACAGATGATATGACTCAGATGGACTTCTGTGACTTCAGACATCTATGGAACATTCCATCCAAACAGAAAAGAATATACCTTCTTCTCAGCACCTCATGGGACCTTCTCAAAAACTGACCACATCCTCAACCGATACAAAAAACTGGGATAACCCATGTACCTTATCAGATCACCATGGCTTAAAATTAGAAGTCAACAGCAACAGTAATTCAGGAAAGCCCACAAACACATGGAAATTCAACAATGCTCACCTGAATCATCAATGGGTCAAGAAAGAAATTAAAGACTTCCTAAAAAATTCAGTGAAAATGACCACATAACATACTCAAATTTATGAGAATGAAACCAGTGTTAAGAGGAAAGTTCATAGTACTAAATAACTACACAAAGAAGCTGGAAAAACACTACCACACTAGTGAGTTAGCAGAACATTTGAAAACTCTAGAACAAAAAGAATCAAACTCACCCAGGAGGACTAGACGGGAGGGAAATAATCAAACAGAGCTGAAATCACCAAAATAGAAACAAAGAAAACAATACAAAGAATCAATGAGACAAAGAGTTGGTTCTTTGAGAAAATAAACAAAGTAGACAGGCCTTTATCCAAACCAGAAGGCAGAGAGAGAGAGAGAGAGAGAGAGAGAGAGAGAGAGAGAGAGAGAGAGAATATCCAAACTAACAAAATCAGAAACGAAAAGGGGGACATAAGGACAGACATGGAGGAAATTCAGAGAATCATTAGGTCATATTTTGAAAACCTGTACTCCACAAAATTGTAAAACTTAGAGGAAATGGACAATTATCTGGATAAATATCACTTACCAAAATTAAACTGAGACCAGGTATTGGCATAAAAACAGGAGGAACAATGGAACCGAATTGAAGACTGGATATCAATCCACACACCTACAAACACCTGATTTTTGACGAAGAAGCAAAAAATATCAAATGGAAAAAAGAAAGCATATTCAACCATGGTGCTGGTATAACTGGATATCAACCTGTAGAAGAATGAAAATAGACCCATATCTATCACCATGCACAAAACTCAATTCCAAATGGATCAAAGACCTCAACATAAAGCCAGCCACACTACACCTCATATAAGAGAAAGTTGAAAGTACACTTGAACGCATTGGCACAGGGAACCACTTCCTAAATATAACCCCAGTAGCATAGACACTGAGAGAAACAATTAATAAACGGGACCTTCTGAAACTGAAAAGCTTCTGTAAAGCAAAGGGCATGGTCAACAATACAAAACGGCAGCCTACAGAATGGGAAAAGATCTTCACCTACCCCACTTCAGACAGAGGTCTGATCTCCAAAATATACAAAGAACTCAAGAAATTGGTTATTAAAAGAACAAATAATCCAATAAAAAGGGGGAGGGCAGACCTAAACAGAGAACTCTCAACAGAGGAATCTAAAATGGCTGAAAGACACTTAAGGAAATGCTCAACATCCTTAGCCAGCAGAGAAATGCAAATCAAAACAACTCTGAGATTCCATCTGTAAGAATGGCCAAGATCAAAAACACTGATGACTGTTGCCTCCCCGTCCCTCCTGTAACGTACGACCCCAGGATTCCCCCCAACCTGTCCTGGCTCGCTTGCCGCCATGGCTGACAAGAAAGCTGCCTTTGACGACGCGGTGGAAGAACGTGTGATCAACGAGTACAAAATATGAAAGAAAAACACTTCTTTTCTTTATGGTTTGGTGGCGACTCATGCCCTGGAGTGGCCCAGTTTAGCTGCCCAGTGGCTTCCAGATGTTACCAGGCCTGAGAGGAAAGATTTCAGCATTCATCAACTTGTCCTGGGAACACACACATCGGATGAACCAAACCACCTGTCGATAGCCAGTGTTCAGCTCCCCAGTGACGATGCTCGGTTTGATGCTTCACACTATGACAGTGAAAAAGGAGAATTTGGAGGTTTTGGCTCGGTCAGTAGGAAAATTGAAATAGAAATCACGATCAACCATGAAGGAGAAGTCAACAGAGCTCGGTACATGCCCCAGAACCCTTGCAGCATTGCAACAAAGACTCCATCCAGTGACATACTTGAACCTGGAAACAACCTAAATGCCCCTTGACCGGAGAATGGATCAGGAAAATGTGGTACATTTACACAACGGAGTACTACACAGCAGAAAAAAATTATGACGTCTTGAATTTTGCAGGTAAATGGATGGAGCTAGAAAACATTGAGTGAGGTAACCAGAAAGGCAAATATCATTACGTACTCATAAGTAGCTTTTGGACACAAAGCAAATAAAACCAGCCTACAATTCACAATCCCAAAGAACCTAGACAACAGTGAGGACCCTAAGAGAGACATACATGGATCTAATCTACATGGAAAGTAGAAAAAGACAAGAAAGATCTCCTGTGTAAATTTGGAGCAGGGAGACCACGGGAAGAGGGTAGGAGTGGAGAAAAATAAAAAGCTAAACACTGCTTTAAACATTGATCTCTTCACAATTTAAATACAACCAACTATCGTTTTAATGTAACTGCGAGATTACCATTAACAGGAAGTGATAAAGAACCTATTTGAGACAGATTGAGCGACAGGGTATTAAGCAAACAACGTAGCAAAGTAATAAGTCTCTCATTTAGTAACAATGTTACCAGGGGAGAGCGCGAACGCAGTCCCCCACTACCACAAATTATGCAGTCGAGTTTCCCGCATTTGGGGAAATCGCAGGGGTCAGCACATCCGGAGTGCAATGGATAAGCCTCGCCCTGGGAAAACCACCTTCGTGATCATGGTATCTCCCCTGCCAGGTAAGTATGAGTTAGTCTTGCCGGGTACAAGGACTCCATCGATATCGCCCCACTCTGAACTTACGGTCTTCTGTTTTATGCTTTCTCTCTCTCACTTTCGCTTGTTCTCATAGTGCCCCCTAAAAATATCTAGGCCATCATGTAGGTATCATTCTTAAACGGCATGGTAAGTGTACGTGTGGGCATCCTCGGCGTGCACATAATTTACATACACCGCGCCCCTGAGGTGACGTTGCGGGAACTCGAGTTTTGGCCCGTCACCGGGGGGCGGAGGCTCGGGGCTTGTTGGTTGAGGGTCAAGTCTAGAAATCAAAAGGGAGGTGAAAACCTATCTTTGAGACCCGGGGCCGCTCAGGTTACACGTCAGAAGCTCTGGACAAAAAGGAAGTTCTACTCATCGTCTCCACCAGCGGAAGGAACTCATCCTCATAGGATTCAGTTCTAGGAGATTCACCCCTATAGTGTTGAACTTCTAATAGAAAATCGTTTTTTGTCCATTTTTCCCGAGTAGGTAATCATACATTATCTATTTGCACACAATCAGTAAGCCTAATAAAAACCTGGGAGAAAGGCCAAGATAACAGCTTGGAAGAAAGAAATCAGACTGGATAGTGGTACACAATTGTAATCTCAGCGCTCCACTGGTCAAGGTAGGTGGAGCGAAGTTAGTTTGGGCTACACAGCGAGTTGCAGGTCAGACTGGGTTAGTGAGACCGCATCAAAAACAAAATAAAACAACAACACTGAAAAAAAAATCTATAAAAAGACAGGTTATTTTCATTGAAAAAAAAAAAAAAGCCAAGAGACGAGTTTGATCCACCCCCCCCTTCGCAGCGCTGTGCCTGCGCAGGCGCACAGGAAGGACTCGCTGTACGAGCGGAAGTGGCGTCCCCGGACGCTTTAGGGAAGGTAGCCGCGGAACAGACTGAGACCCGGGCCGTTGGTGGACCGCGTAGGCCTCCCTAGGCCGCCATGAACCGGCTCCAGGATGACTACGATCCCTACGCGGTGGAAGAGCCGAGTGACGAGGAGCCGGCTCTGAGCAGGTGGGCCGCTGCCCCACGGTGTCCGCCCGGCCCTGGCCGAGGCCGTTGTGCTCGCCGCGCCTGCCGAGCTTGGGCGCACTGCCGTCCGCATCCCTTGTAGGAGCCTCGGGGTGCCTGGTGGGGCTGCTCAGTCTCTGGGGAGCCAGGATGGACAGCAGTGCGGGAAGAGGGATGTTCAGGAATCACGGGGCCCCCAAGCGTAAATCCTCAGCTGGAACCCTGCTCCTTACCGTTTGCTAGCACTGTGACTGAAGGCAGGTCAGTTCTCGGCTTCGCGTGTGTAACTGGAAATACAAGTGTGGGACTAGTGAGGGCTACAGGCCTCAGCTGGAAGACTGTCGAATAGAAATAAGGGAATAGGCAACGGGAAAGTTTTGGATTATAATAGAGATAAATACAAAATTCTTGTCTTCCATTGGTTTACCTTATAATAGGGGAAATGAATTGCGTATCTTCGAAGGCCATCGTACGTGACATCTGATAGGCATAGGTGAAGTTCTGTGGTACTTTTGGAAAGGGAGTATTTATCCTACTTGAGGGAACTTGGGATTTGGGATGTTTTTACTTATGTGTAAAGCATATCTTTATCCCCTCCCCCCCTTTAAGCTTGCTGGATATTAAATCCAGGGTATTTAATAAAAATTATCTCTCTTTCATTTCTTAATCTTAATTTTAGTTTTGAGACAGGGTCTCTGTGTAGTTCTGCCTGGCCTGGAACTTGCTCTGTAGACCAGGTTTGTGTTAAACTCAAGAGAGCCACTTGCCTCTGCTTCCAAGTGCTGAGTTTAAAGGCGTACACCCCCAGGCCTGGCTTGTTTACTTCTTTAATAACCTAGATTCTAGAGCAGTGCTTCTCAACCTTCCTAATACTAGAACTTTTTAATAAAGTTCTTCATGTTGTGGTGACCCCAGCCATAAAATTATTTCATTGCTTGTCGAGGTGTTCTGTGTTGCTTGGGTCGGTCAAAGGAACTTGGGTCCCTCCAAGATGAATGTTAGGCAGTCTGGCAGCAGGGAGGAACTTCTGTGACCTGAACCCCAACAGCTGTGCAAAGGCGTATTTACTGATTGTTACACAGAAGTTGTCTTTTGGGTAAAACAAGTTCCTCGTACTAAAGTCCCTGATACAATGATATGTCCTTCTGAAGAAAAGGGACACACGTGCCATTTTCGTCCTCACCGGGTACTGTTTGCTGTACCCAATCAATAATCAAGGTGCCAGGACCGTCTTGTGACCAAAGCCATGCAAGTCTGTAAAGCTTTCAGGAAAGCAGCTCTGTAGATCCCAGAGACCAATCACTGTTCTCCACAGTGATTTCTTGAGTCTAAGCTTTCCTAGAAAACAACTGTTCATTCTGAAGTTTACCTCCCTTACAGTGAGAAACACTATTTCATTCTAATGCTTATTCTAGATACAATGATTCTACTAATTTTCCTTTCTGCCGTTGCTACTTTGTAAATATAATTTTGCCACTGTTATGAATCATAATGAAAATACCTGTATGCAGGCTATCTGGTAGGTCGCTCACAAGGGGGTTGAGAACCAACTCAGAAAAGGTGTGTGCGTGCTGAGAAGATGGTTTAGCTGGCAGCAGACTTTCTGTGCTAGTCGGAGGACGTGGGTTCTATCCCCCGAACTCATGTAAAAAGCTGGATGTGTTAGTGTTTGTCTTTAATCCCAGCACTTCTGTGGTGAGACGAGAGGCAGGGACAGGAGATGCCGTCAGAGGCTCGAGGACAACTAGCCTGTAGCGTACTGCCAGAAACAAGAAAGACCTTTCCTCGACGAGGCAAAAGGCAAGAGCCAATTTCTCAAATTGTCTTCTGGCTTCCAAACGCACTTGTACATATAAAAACAGACGTGACCCGAACACTAAACCAGTGAAGATGCAGGTCATTGCGTCATTGCAAGGGTCCCTTTTACTGCTTGCAAGTATGCTCGCCTCTCAGGCTGGCCTCAAGCTTCCTGCACTCCTCTGCCCGCACACACTGCTCTTCTTTCCCTTCCGGCCTCCTAAGATACAGTGTGCACCATCATATCTAGCTCCCCTATTGCTGCTTGCTTGTTTGTCTTGTTTTTTGAGACAGGGTTTCTCTGTGTAGTCCTGGCTTTCCTGGAATTAGCTCTGTTGGCCAGACTAGCCTCAAACTCAGAGATCTGCCTGCCTCTGCCTCCCTTGTGTTTGGGTTAAAGGAGTGCGCCACCACCGCCTAGCAAATAATTTGAGCTTTCTACTTTGGTAAGGTTAGAGTATAAGAACGGTTTTCCGACCTGAGTGTGCTGGCCTTTTTGGATAAGGACACAGTATTAGTAGTGGACAGTAAGGTCCACTCAGAGGACTGGTCACAGAAAGCTCCTGAGTTGGGTGGTGATGTGATGAGGCCTTTAGGAGTGACATTCAATGAACAGGAATGAGACAGGAGAGATGAGGCCGGGGATCCTTGACAGATGCTGCTGGAGGCAGAGTTAAGAGGTCGTAGTGAAAACAACTATGGTGGCAGTGACAGGGGAGTAGAGCATGCTGGCAAGTTTACCTGTCATGGACAGCATTTTCTTGGGAGTAGACTCTGGCTAAAACCTTAGCCATTGCCAAGCAGTGGTGGCACTTGCGTTTGATCCTGGCACTTGGGAGGCTCTGTAAGTTCAGGCCAGTCAGTCTGCCCCGTGAAACCGTGTCTCAAAGAGGCAAACAGACAAGCAACCCACCCGTAGTCCTCAGCAAATTCAAATGGAGTGATTTGCATTTTTCTGATTAAGTCTCTGGTGGAGCCTTGAAAGCATTGTCTGGTAAGAAAATAGCAGTCAGGAGTATTCTTCCTATGAGGACTCTGTTGTGATTATTGATAGAGGATCTCATGTATCCAAGACTGGTGGCTTCTGATCCTCCTGCTTCCACTTCTCAAGTGCAGGGATTACAGGCATCCACTGCCACATGTGTTTTATGTGATGTTGTGCTCAACCCAGCCTCATGCCTGCCAGGCAAGCACTTCACCAACTCAGTTACTGTTGGAGGAGGGAGCTTGTTAGTTTCTGGCTGCCTGGCTAGCTTAGACCTGAAATAATCACACAGAAACTGTATTAATTAAATCACTGCTTGGCCCATTAGCTCTAGCTTCTTATTGGCTAACTCTTATATTAATTTAACCCATTTCTATTAATCTATATATCACCATGAGGTCATGGCCTACCAGCAAAGTTTCAGCACGTTTATCTCCGCGTCTCCAGACTCTGCCTTCTTCATCCCAGAATTCCGTTTAGTTTTTCCCGCCTAGCTCTGTTCCCCTATAAGTTACAGCCTCAGCCTTATTATTATGTGTATTCTTCATATCGTATTAGAAAGGTCTTAGCCATTTACCAACTCAGTTACAGCCTCAGCCTTATTATGTATATTCTTTATGTTATATTAGAAAGGTCTTAGACATTTAATTTTTCTAGTTTGAGACAGGGTCTCATGTAGCCCAGGGCTGTCTTTGACTCGATTGTGTAGCCGCTCTTGAACTCTGGCCTCCCAAGTACTGGGATTACAGGTGTGCAATACCATGTTTGACTTAATTCATTAAAAATTTTAAATAACCTTTATTTTCTTAAATTTGTGTGTGTGGGCATGTGGGTGCCCTGGCACATTATGGAGGTCAGAGGACAGCTTCTCTCCTTCTGTGTGGGTCCCAGGGATTGAATTCCGGTCAGCAGGCTTGGTGACAAGTGCCTGACCTGCATATGGGCTGTCTCTGTCTGGCCCTAACTAAATTCAGTTTTGTTGTTTTAGTCCTCCTAATTACTGATTTAGTTGTATTATAATTCTGTTGATAGGAAATCAATGACAGAAGGCAATACAAATGGACAGAAATTGGCTAGGAGGATCCAGAATGTAGTGTAAGTTTCTTGGGGTGAGTGCTATAGCGCAGTGGTAGAGCAGGTGCTTGCTGTGCATGAAGCCTTGGTTCAGTTACCAGCACCAGGAAAAAAAATCTTCATTGTACAGTTTCTCTTTTCACAGTTTTCTGTAGCAGTGTGTCTTAAATTATATTATTTAATTCCTATTAACATTTTATGTTGAAATATTAGCTGTATATTAATTATATATTTATGTATTTTACCTAAATAAAACTCTCAGATCTAAGAGTTAAGCTTTTTAGTTGATAGAATTATGAATTGGTGCACGTATTGGAAAGCAATGTAATAATATAAGATCTTGGAAAGAGGGATGGTTAATAGCATCGGCTGTTCTCCCAGGGGACCTGGGTTCGAGTCCTAGCACTCACATGGGCTCACAACCATCTAACTGTAACACTAGTTGTAGGGAACTCAGTGCCCTTTTTGGCCTCTATGGCAGCAGGCCATACAATGGTGCACAGATACAATACAAGTAGAGGACACATATACTCACAAGCCAAAGAAGCCAGGCAGTGGTGGTGCACACCTTTAATTCCAGCACTTAGGAAGCAGAGGTAGCTGATCCCTTTTTTGAGTTTGAGGCCAGCTTGGTCTACAGAGTGAGTTTCAGAACTGCACAGAGAAATCTTGTCTCAAAAAACTGAAAACCAGAACAAAACAGAAACAACCAACCAAACAAAAAAACCTCAGGAAACCCTTCTGAAAACTGGATTAGCTGATCTGTTACCTATTAATTATCATTGCTGTATGTAATATCATAGGTACACCAGATGTAAATTTGTAAGACTTAGTTTTCTGTTGAGCAGTGAAGTGCCAGAAGTTGTGCTTGTGTTTTGTTTTGTGACGCTGTACTTCAGACCTGGGGCCTTGACATGCTGCATGAGTGCCCAACTACTGAGCCACATCCCAGCCGTGACTTTAATATTTTTAATATTCGGGACTGGAGAGATGACTCAGCGGTTAAGATCACTGGCTGTGCTTCCAGAGAGGTCCTGAGTTCAGTTCCCAGCAACCATATGGTGACTCACAACCATCTATAGTAGGATCTGATGCTTTCTCTGCATAAAGGTGTACATGCAGATAGAACACTCATTTACAAAAAGTAAATTAATTAATTAAAGACAAAAATATTTTCATATTTATATTCCCCGTGCTTTAAATGTATGCTAGTTCTGAAGATGAAGTCGACGTGCTATTACATGGAACTCCTGACCAAAAACGAAAACTCCTCAGGGAATGTCTTACTGGGGAAAGTGAGTCATCAAGTGAAGACGAGTTTGAGAAAGAAATGGAAGCCGAGTTAAACTCCACCATGAAAACAATGGAGGATCAGTTATCCTCTATGGGGACAGGTAAACTCTGGGCTCTGTTCCCTCAGATGTCCTGTAAGGGATTGTGTTCTTTTGTGTTGCTTTGTGTAGGTGCTCAAGAATCACTGTGTGTCTGTGTGTGTGTGTGTGTGTGTGTGTGTGTGTGTGTGTGGTGGGTGGTGGTGGGGGTAAACCTGGGTCTGTGTTTGCTGGGCAGAAATCTACCACTGAGTTACAGTCCTGCCTCTTTTTTTTTAAAAATATTTATTTATTTATTTATTTATTTATTTATTTATTTATTTATTATGTATACAATGTGTGTATGTCTGCAGGCCAGAAGAGGGCACCAGACCTCATTCCAGATGGTTGTGAGCCACCATGTGGTTGCTGGGAATTGAACTCAGGACCTTTGGAAGAGCAGGCAATGCTCTTAACCACTGAGCCATCTCTCCAGCCTCTTTTAAAATTTGAGAAGGGTCTGGCTAAGTTACTCAGCCGGGCCTTGAACTCCCTGTAGTCTCTGTGATCCTGCCTCTGCTTCCTGGGTGGCTGGGAGACAGAGCTGCATGCGCATGTCTGGTTAATACACTACTTACCACATGAAGACACGAATGTGCTGACGGTCTGTGCCCGAGTTTTCATTAATTAATTGTGTTATTGGAAAGATACTATTTAGTAGCAAGTACTTCTCTTATTTCCTTTTGTGGTTTTTAACACATGCTGGGCGTAATGGCGTACACCTTTGATCCCAGTCTAGTATATAGAGTGAGTCTCAAAAAAACAAACAAAAACCCAGAAAACCCACAAGGCATACAAAGAATTTTTAGAGTCTGATGGCAGATTAATGGTCTGTCACTACACATTCCTGTCTCTTTGTAGTAAGTAATAAACATATTTCATTTTTAGATTTTTATGTATAATTTACTTGACCCAAAAATTGTTTTGTGGAAGTAGGACTGGTCAGAACTGGTTTTCATGTTGGTATGTGCTGTAATTTGAAGAACGGAAAGATGTAATTGAAGCGGAGGAAGACTCGGACACAGGCTTGTGAAGACAAGCTGGAGACGAGATGTTTGTTCTTGGTCCATCTCCTTGTCTAATGCCCTTGGAGCAAGACATCCTTTCCTCTTCTCCATGGAGTATTTTTTTTTTTAAGATTTATTTATTTATTATGTATACAGTGTTTTGCCTGCCTGTGTGCCTGTAGGCCAGAAGAGGGCCAGATGGTTGGGAGCCACCATGTGGTTACTGGGAATTGAACTCAGGACCTCTGGTAGAGCAGCCAGTGCTCTTAACCTGAGCCCTCTTTCCAGCTCCCTCCACGGAGTATTTGTATTGTGCATTAAAAGATAGAAGTATCTATGCTAAGACCTTGGAAATACAGCATTTAAATTCTAATTACTTTTGTGGGGAGAGAGAAAGGATGATTTTCTCCTAATCTGGAAAACTCGTCAAGGAGTGCATAGGCACAGATATCTCGTAGTCCATACTCTACAACTGAGATTGTGACTAAATTAGTACTATCTGAAGTGACGGAGTATGTACGGAGTGTTTCAGTTTGTAAACTTCTGTTTGGTAGGGTCTTCCTCGGGAGTTGGGCGTGTTGGAGGAGTCACAGCAAAGTACTATGATGACATTTATTTTGATTCCGATTCTGAGGATGAAGACAAAGGCAGTGAGTAACCTTTTTCTTAGTAGGTTAAATATTCCGTCTGAGTTTTATATTGTTTTTAAAATTTGGTTGTGTGATGTCTTACTCTTTTGACTGTTTGGGGCCCACCACCAGCTCCTGAGGCTTAGTCTAGTTATGAACGCCTGGCCTTAGCTTGGCTTGTTTCTTGCTAGCTATTCTTAAATCATCCCCGACCACCTTTTGCCTCAGAGCTTTTCTCTTTCTCTTACTTCTGTAATCTTATTTCCACTCTTAACTACATAGCTTGCTGTGACTGGCCCCTGATGTCCTCTTTCTTGTTTCTCCTTTTATTTATTCTCTGCCTGCCAGCCCCGCCCTATCCTTGCCCCTGCCTCGTTATTGGCTCTTCAGCTCTTCATTAGGACCATCAGGTGTTTTGGACAGGCAAAGAATCACAGCTTCATGGGGTTAAACAAATGCAGTGTAAGCAAAGCAACACCTCAAAAAATATTCCTCAACAAAATTTGATTTTATGTTAATGGGTGAATATCTGTGTGTGCACCATGTGGATTCCCTGGAATGGAGTTGTAGAGGTTTGTGAGCCGCCATGTGGATTCCCTGGAATGGAGTTGTAGAGGTTTGTGAGCCGCCATGTGGATTCCCTGGAATGGAGTTGTAGAGGTTTGTGAGCCACCATGTGGATTCCCTGGAATGGAGTTGTAGAGGTTTGTGAGCCACCATGTGGGTTCCCTGGAATGGAGTTGTAGAGGTTTGTGAGCCGCCATGTGGGGGCTGGAAATCAAGCCTGGGTCCTCTGAAAGAGCTGCCAGTAATCTTAACTGCTGAGCAATCTCTCGGCGGCTCTCTTACTTATTTTTAAGAAACTATAGACTAAGCCAAGTGTGGTGACTACACCTTTAGTCTTAGCACTCAGGGAGGCAGAGGCAGGACAGCCAGAGCTACACAGTAAGACTCTGTCTCAAAAGAAAAAAAAAAGAAAGAAATTTTATGCTGTTGATGGGGGTGCAGAATTGGTTCATAAGAAATGCAGGCGTGCAGGTATGCGTGCGCTTACAGCGGCATCCTCAGCATGGGGGCTATGGCCCTTTTGGGAGCAATCCTTTCACAAGGGCCACCTAAGACCATCAGAAAACACGTATTTCCAGTGTTCTTAGGATCTGAGACACTATGCTTCTTTATCCGCCTCCAGGCGGTACATCCACGTACCCACGGATGAGTCCCAGGTGTGATGACATCATCACGCCAAACTCCTTCATGTACACCCCAGACAAATACAAGTGTATGTGACAGGTTTGGTGCAGTGCTGTGCTTACGCAGCCTGGCCACCTGCGTAGAGAGCAGCTGACGTATTGAACGCAGCAGTGTTGGAGGCAGGACTACACTTGGTGAGTTATGATTGCTGGGTAAATGTAAAATCAGCAGGTACTGGAGAAAATCTGTACCATGGGAACTTTATCTGGTTGCTGACCAGCCTTTATAGTCAGCTATGGTTAATGTGAATACTGCCCCCTCGTGATAGTAGTGGGGATGTAAAAAACAAAACAACAAAACAGAACGGTAGAATCAAAGGAATTGTTTTTGTTTTTTGAGACAGGGCTTCTCTGGATAACGTCTCTAGCTGTCCTGGAACTCACTTTGTAAGGTTTACAGAGATCCACCCGCCTCTGCCTCCCAAGTGCTGGGATTAAAGGCATGTGCCACCATGCCAGGCCAAACATAGGAAATTAATGAACTTCATTGACTGAAATATTTCATGAGTCATCTTTTGTTTTTGTTTATTTATTTATTTGTTTGTTTTGGTTTTTTGAGACAGGGTTTCTCTGTGTACTGGAACTAGCTCTTGTAGAGCAGGCTGGCCTTGAACTCACAGAGATCCACTTTCTGCCTCCCTGAGTGCAGGGATTAAAAGTGTGTTTTGCAACTATGCAGTGAGTTGGGTACACTGAACAAAGCTCTGCTATTTCACACTAAAGTGTGATGCTTGTCCAGAGGAAAAGTTTAAAACGTGTTCTTGAGCTTTGTGATGAACTGGATTTTTTAAAGATTTATTTGCTTATGCATTCTATGTGCACGAGTGCTCTGTCTTCATGCACAGCAGAGGAGGGCGCCAGATCTTATTACAGATGGCTGTGAGCCACCATGTGGGTGCTGGGAACTGAACTCAGGACCTCTGGAAGAGCAGCCAGTGCTCTTAACCTCTGAGCCATCTCTCCAGCCCCCTCAGAAAGCAAGATTGCAGTTGGAAGCATTTTTCAGCCATGGAAGTGAGTTGCAGAAAACAGCTTACTTGATGGACGCCTTTACCATTTTGAGTGAGTTAAATTTATCACTGCAAGGACCAAATGCAGCATGCCTTGATTTGTCTGAAAAGGTCCAGTCCTGCCAAATGAAACTTCAGCTTTGAAAAAAAGAAAGAAAGGAAAAAAGATGATTAATAGAATTCACATGTTGCCTACTTAATCTGCTTTCTTTGAGAAACCTTACATTGAACCAGACAAAAGAATCATGATGATAATTTCTGTGAAAGAACACTTACACAGACTTACACTCAAAATTTCATCGTGTTTTCAAATCTACCTGACACCCCATTCTCAGTCCAAGTCAAGGTGCTCCTGAGACAGCACAAGAGGCGCTCACTGAATGAACAGCTCTGCAGTGAGAACTGATTTCCCTGCACTCCAGTTACAAAAAATGTTCTGTCTGAGACTGTTGCGCCTTCTTCCATTTTCAACAACATATCTTTGTGAAACGGCTTTCCAGCTTGTTGTTTATCATGTCTAAATACAGTAGGCTTTGCTCTTGCAAAGACCGCCTCAAGAATGTCCAATCTGTGAGAAAGAAACAGTTTCAACCTTACCACTGAGGTTAGCTTTATAGGCATACTGTTGAAAAATGTAGCAATGTAGTTTACTGTTGTAAAGACTGTTTACATTAAGACTGTTACCCATCATGCTTCAAGACAATTTCATTTATTTGTAATTGGAAATAAATATTCCACAATATATAATTACATACTGTTTTTGTGATTAATCACTATGCTTTAATTATGTCCAGTTTGAAACAATGAAAATAAATCCTGCATATCAGATATTTACATTATGATTCATAATAGTAGCAAAATTACAGTTATGAAGTAGCAATGAAAATAAACTTATGTTTGGGGCCACCACATGAGGAATTGTGTTAAAGGATCAAAGCATTAGGAAGGCTGGGAACCAGTGGATTAAAGGCCTGTGCCACCACATGTGTGCATATTGTGCACATATGTACATGTATATGTACATGTATATATTATATATGTTTTTTTTTCCTCATCAATTTTCAAGACAGAGTTTCTTTGTAGCCCCCAGCTGTCCTGGAACTTGCTCTGTAGACCAGGCTGATCTTGAACTCACAGATTCCCTTCAAAGGCAGGTGCCACCGCCATCTGGCTCTTATTCATATTGACCTCCACCTATTTGTTCTATCTGTTAAGCTGGCCTCCAACTCACAGAGATCCACCTACCTCTGTCCTGCCGGTTCTAGTTTTAGGATATCCAGGAAGATACCGAGAAACCCTGTCCTGAAAAAGACAAAACAAAACAAAAATTGTGCTGTATGTGTGTGTTTATGGGAGCTCGTTCTGCTCATGTGTGGCTGTAGCAGACAGCCTATGATAGTCAGTTCTCATCTTTCCCCGTGTGAGTCCCAGGACTGAACTCAGGGTGTCAGGCTTGGTGGCAGGTGCCTTTACCCACGGAGCCATCTTACCTGCCTCCCTTCTGTTTTTGGCAGAGTCTCATATAGGAGAGGCTGGTCTTAAGCTTGGTTTGAAGTCAAGGATGCCCGTGAACTCATGATCCTACTGCCTCTGTTTCCCAAGCACTGGGTTTACAGATGTGTCACCATGGCCAGTTAGTTTTAAATGGGTTTTTTGAGACTGAATTTTTATTATGTGAACTTAGCCCTTTGGCCTCCTCTATCTTTAATTTAGTGTCTTAATTGCACAAAACTCTTATTTGAAGAATAGCTGTATTTTATTTAATTTTATGTATTGCATTTTTGGGTAAGGTTTTACTTTTATTGCCAGGGTGGCCTGAAACTCACTGTGTGGTCCAGGCATGGCAGTTCTCTTGTCTCAGCCTCTCACATATTGGGATTGCTGGCTAAAGAAAGGCTTTTGGCATCTTTTAAAAGACAATGTAACGAGAATAAATACATAGTACGGGAAACAGGAGAGCCATTTTATATTAAAGAATTGTAATCTTTAAACATGATACTGATCCATACTATTAACCTTTTAAAAATTAGCACAAGTGACCAAGAAGAAGAAGAAACAGCGCAGGATCCCAACAAATGATGAGTTACTGTATGATCCTGAGAAAGACAACAGAGACCAAGCCTGGGTTGATGCGCAGAGAAAGGGGTAAGCATTGAAATCTTTATTTATAACTTTAGAGAGTGAGTTTTCCATGCTTTCTTTTCTTTTTAAATCTGTTTATTTATTATATATACACTTTCCAGGAGACAGTGCCCGATCTCATTACAGATGGCTGTGAGCCACCATGTGGTTGCTGGGAATTGAACTCAGGACCTCTGGCCGAGCAGTCAGTGCTCTTAACCTCTGAGCCATCTCTCCAGCCCTTTCCATGCTTTCTTATTTTACTGTGTGGGTATTTGTTTTCACACAAACACATCAGGAACAATTTGAGGGGGAAAATTTCAAAAGTTTATTTGAAAATAACTAGCAGATTTTAGTCAGACAGTTGAATGTCCATCCATCCATTTATCCATCCACCCATCCATCCATCCATCCACCCACCCACCCATCTATCTAATTTTCGAGACAGGATTTCTCTGTGTAGCCCTGGCTGTCCTGGAACTGACATTGTAGACCAGGCTGGCCTCGACCTCAGATCCACCTGCCTCTGCCTGGGATTAAAGGTCTGTGCAATCACTACCTGTTTATTATTAAAACAGATTCTCATGTAGCCCAGGATGGCTTCAAAACTTAATATGTAGTTAGAGCAGGGTTTAAACTCCTGATGATCCTGCCTCCACCTTCCAAATGTTCTCTGGAGTTACAGGTTAGTCACCATGACGATTAATGGTTAGTTACTGATGGATCTAAACTGCCCTAGTCAATCTCTTCATTTAAGAATAGAACTTGTTATTGCTCTTGTGAGACAGGGTTTTGCTGTGTAGCCCTGGCTAATTTACAGCAATTCTGTCTCAGCCTCCTGAGTGCTGGGATTACAGATTTGCATTCATCTGTATTCTTAACCCCCTTTTTGCTTTTTTTTTTTTNTGCGGGGGTTCAAGATAGAGTTTCTCTGTAGCTTTGGAGCCTGTCCTGGAACCTCTTGTAGAACAGACTGGCCTCGAACTCACAGAGCCCTTTTCTTTTTTTTTCCTTTTTTTTTTTATTATTTTTAATTTTAATTATGAGTGTGTGCGCATCTCTTTGTGGATACAGGCACATTTCTGCTGAGGCCAGAAGACTGTGTCAGGTACCTTGGAGCTGAATGTTGCAAGTGGTTGTTTCATACCAGCTTCCCCCTTTTCTTCTTAAAACATGAAGTGGTTCAGGCTGACTTTGAAGTCACTCTGTAGCCCAGTGGACCTGGAACTTGCAATCCTCCAGGCTCAGCCCCATCGGAAGCAGGGATTATAAGCCTGTACCAATAGGCCTGGTTATAAAACTAATTTTGGTGGTTGGTTGGCTGGTTTGTATTTTGGGAAAACTAGCTTTTCCCAAAAAGACAGATTAAGACTTTTAAAAATGTATTTATGTATGTATTGTTGTTGGTGGTGAGATAGGGTCTCTCCCAGACTGGCCTTGAAGTCCCAGGGCTACTCTCTCTTAGCCTCCCAAATGCTGGGATTATGAGTATGCACCATCATGATTCTCTTATAATTTTAAATTATTCTGAGATTTTTGTCTGCCCTGGAATTTACTAGGTAGAACAGGCTGGCCTTGAGTATGCAGAGATTCATCTACTTCTGCCTCCTAAGTGCTTTTTGTTATTTTGTTTTTTAGTCCCAAATTCTGGGATTAAAGGCTTGCGTCACCTTGCAGGTTCATCTACATCATAGCACAGTACTTCTTTCTATGGCTTGAACAAGGCCATTGTCTCTCTATCTTGATTTTTGTTATCCGAATGTCCCCTGAGGGGTATTTGTGTTCTAACTACCTTTTGACCGTTTTGAATAGTGTTGTCAGAACTGGTGTTCGGGTCTTTGTTTAAGTCCTTCTTACGTTTTTTTATTTTTGGTTACAAATCTTGGTGGAGCATTGCAGGATCACATGGTAATTCTGTGTTTTAATTTTTTGTGTGCCTGTGTGTGGCGCTGGAGATCGCACATGCTAGGCAAGTACTCCGCTGCTGAGCTACTCACTCCGCGCCTAGGAGGCTGTGCTTCCATCCGGATGGGGATGGCTAGCTCTGTTTTCCCAGTCTGGAGGGCTGATGTTGCTGTGGGATCTCTGTACACACCCTGTAGCTCCAGTACTCACTGCGTCCTTTCTCTCTCATCCCGTTTCACTCCTGTGCGGCTTCCTCCAGCGCCCCCTGGTGTTTACTTATTGAAACTGCCTTTATTTTGTTTTTGGAGGCAGGATCCCCAAGGAAGCATAGTTTGGCCTGGAATTGGCTGTGTAACCTAGGCTGGCATTGGATGCTTTTGTTCTTCCTGCCTTAGCTTTCCGAATTTATTTTACTTTACATTTGTTTATCCTAAAATTTACTATTGCCGTGTGAATATGTGGCAAGGCATGCTTGTGGAGGTTAGAGGACAACTTCTAGGGCTGTCGGGTTAGTAGCAAGCACCTTGACGTGGTAAGCCATCCTACCAGCTCCTCTACCTTCAGTGTTTGAAACAGTCTCTACTGAACCTACAGCTCGGCTCGGCTGGCTGCCAGTGAGCTCCAGAGCTCTGCCTGACTCCTTGCTGTTGTCCTAGAGCATTGTGGTCACCATGCCTCTGCCTGCTCTTTACGTGGGCACTGGGCCCTTAGCCCATCCCCTCTTCCTCAGGCTGGTCTGGAGCTCACCATACAGTCCAGGCTGCATTTGTGGTCTTCTGCTGTTGTCCCTAGTGCTAGGACAGAACTCAAGTTTTTCCAGCCAGGGTTTCTCTGTGTAGCTCTGGCTATCCTGGAACTTGCTCCGTAGACCAGGCTGGCCTCGAACTCAGAGTTCCACCTACTCTGTTTTCTGAGTGCTAGGATTAGAGTCATGTGCTTTTAACTGCCTGGCTTAAATTTGTGACTACAAGCGTAAACTAGTTTCTTAGACTTTCCTTGTTTTTGGCATCTTAAGTGTCTTGAGAGCCCTGGCCTGGTGTGAGGAGGGGCTAGTTTCCTGCTAGAATCCACCTGAGATTCCTCACACTCTCACTGATAATGGGGTTTTGGTTTGTTGTTAGGATTGGCCTTTATGAGACTTGTCTCATTTTAACTCCTACTGACCTTGAATTCTGGATCCCCTGCTTCTTCTGTCTTGGAGTGCTGGGATTTTAGGCATGGGACCACATCACACCAAACTACTATGAAAGAAAATTACTGTGTACAGTCCAGACTTAAGGAGTTAGACTCTTTTTTTTTTTTAAACTTTCTGCCTCTGCAAGATGTTTTATGTAGATCTTGTAAACCATATCCCTAGATTTATCCATTTTTGGTGCTGGAGAGATGGCTCAGCAGTTAAGAGCACTTGTTGCTTTTGCAGAGGACCTGAGTTTGGTTTCTAGCACTCACCTGGTGGCTCACAGCCTTCTATAGCTCCAGTTTCTGGAGACCCCACACCTTCTTCTGACCTCCCAGGGTATCAGGCATACATGTAGTGCACTTAGATACATGCAGATAAGACATTCATATACATAAAGTAGATAAATAAAAATAGTAATGATAATAATAATAATAAAAATTGGTAATGTCTCTGAGTTCTGAATCCTTTTTCTGGACCATGGCATTAGGAACCAGGATTTGGTTGATTAATGTATGTTTTCTTCTCAAATTTATCTTTCTGTGTTAGTTATCATGCCTGTGGCCTGCGGAGACCACATCAGAAGCAGCAGCCGGTTCCCAACAGTGACGCTGTTCTGAATTGCCCTGCCTGCATGACCACCCTGTGCCTTGACTGCCAGAGGTAAGGGGCAAAGGTAAAAACATGCACACAAATGAGTTTTTTTTTTGTTTTGTTTTTTCGAGACAGGGTTTCTCTGTAGCTTTGGAGCCTTCCCAGGAACTTGTTCTGTAGACCAGGCTGGTCTCAAACTTACAGAGTTCTGCCTGTCTCTGTCTCCCTAGTACTGGGATTAAAGGTGTGTGCCACCGCCGCCTGGCTGGCTCACAACCTTCTACCATGAGATCTGGTACCTTCTTCTGCCTTGCAGGCATACATGCTGGCAGAACACCGGTATACAACAAACAAACAAATACATATTTTTTTAAATATTCATTATGGATACAATATTCTGTTTGTATATATGCCTGCTAGAAGAGGGCACCAGACCTCATTACAGATGGTTGTGAGCCACCGTGTGCTTTCTGGGAATCGAACTCTGGTCCTTTGGAAGAGCACGCAATGCTCTTAACTGCTGAGCCATCTCTCCAGCCCCCACAAACAAATATTTTTTTTCCCCTCTCATGTTTTTGAGAAAGGGTTTTTCTGTGTAACACTCATAGTTGTCTTGGATAGTGCTTTGTAGACCAGGCTGGCCTTGAACTGAGATCTACCTGCCTCCACCTCTTGAGTGCTGGGGTTAAAGCCGTGTGCCACTACACCTTGTATAAATAAACAACTCTGTAACTTGAGGGCCGGCTGTGGGGGATTTCAGTCCTGCCCGATACCCCACAGCTGGCAAGCCCAAAAGAAAATCACACAGAGATCTCCGTAAGTTATAAAACTGATTGGCCCATTAGCTCAGTCTTCTTATTAGCTCTTGTAGCTTATATTAACCCATTATTCTTATCTATGCTAGCCACACCGCTCGCAGGTCACATGTGGCCTCTTAGGTGGTCTGGGCTGGACTGGAGGAATGGGCTTCCTCCTTTCCAGCCTTCTCCTGTTCTCATCGCCCCGCCTCTACTTCCTGTCTGGTTGACCCGCCTATACTTCCTGCCTGGCCAATCAGCGTTTTATTAAAATACATGATTGACAGAATACAGACAATTCTCCCACACCACTTCCCTCTTTTTTTTAAAAAAAACAAAGGAAAATACCCATAGTCCTTTTTTGGGAATGTGGGTGTAGTATTCCAAGCTACTTCCTGCTGGTTGGGGGCACTGATAATCTTATGGGGACCTAAAGAAAATTTAGAGTTATAATCAAGTCCTGACTGGAGTGTCCTATGAGTCTCGATCATCTCAGGTAGCAGTCTTGAATCTGTTCTGGATGAAGAGCTCAGACATCCAGGCCATCTGTTTCTACAGGAGATTTCTCAGGTGGTCGTCCTTAATCAAACTGGATGTTTCTTTTTTTTTTTTAATTTTATTTATTTATTATGTATACAATATTCTCTCTATGTATATGTCTGCAGGCCAGAAGAGGGCACCAGACCTCATTACAGATGGTTGTGAGCCACCATGTGGTTGCTGGGAATTGAACTCAGGACCTTTGGAAGAGCAGGCAATGCTCTTAACCACTGAGCCATCTCTCCAGCCCCCAAACTGGATGTTTCTTATCTCAGAATGAATCCACAGACTCTGGAGGCACCGCTTAAGAACATTTGTTGCTTTTGCAGAGGACTCAGGTTCGGTTCCCAGCACCCAGAGGGCAGCTCAATTCCAGGGAATCTAGCACCTTCTTTTGGTCCCTACAAGCATCAGGCATGTCAAGACAGGGCTTCTCAGTGTCGTGTAGCCCTGGCTGTCCTGGAACCTGATTTGTAGAGCAGGCTAGCCTCGAACCTGTCTTTCTCTCCCAGGTTCTGAGATTAAAGGTGTGTGCCATTACCGCCTGGCTTAATTTTTTTTTTTTTTTTAAACAAAACAGTATAAATCTAAAATAATTGAAGACAGAAGGTTAAGTGTTCCTGACTTAATTGAAGTGTCAGGACTGTGAGCCTGGGTACCATGGTAATCTTATTTGCATTTTGTTTCCCTCCAATTTGACTTTAGACTTGAAGCAGTTAACTATCTCTGCACCTAGATGATAAAGGTGTTGATTAGCGCACAACTTGAGCTCCACTCCACGTCATAGGAGGAGAGAGCTGACTCTCCCTGAGCTCCACACACGTTCTGTGACGTGTGCCCACCTCTCCAAACCTCACCTTCACAAATGCGGGACTGGCATGGTGGTGCACACCTTCTGCCCCAGACCTGGAAGGCAAAGGCATGAGTGAGGACCAGGAGTTAGAGGCCAGCCTTAGTTACTTACATAGCTGGTCTGAGGCCAGCCCAGGTAGGTAAGGACCAGCCTCAAAAAGCTTAGACATTATCCATCAAATTCTCAGTAACATTTTTGTCTTCCTAAGTTTAAAAAACAATTTTAAAAAGATTTATTTATTATGTACACCTGCATAATATGTTTGCCTGCAGGCCAGAAGAGATCATCAGATCTCTTTACAGATGGTTGTGCACACCATGTGTTTGCTGGGAATTGAACTGAGGATCTCTGGAAGAACAGTTAATGCTCTTTGAGCCTTCTCTCCAGCCCTTAAAAAACAAATTTAAAAATTGTTTTAGAAATAATTATTTTTCTGGGATCAAAGTTGTTTCTCTCTCCTTTATTTTTCATTTTAGTATAGTATATATTTTTCATTTTAGTATATATTCTTTCAAGGCAGGGTTTCTATGTAGGCATGCACCATACCGCCTGGCTTTCCCCTTGAACACATGTCTGTCTGTCTGTCTGTCTGTCTGTCTGTCTGTCTATCTTTGAGGCAGGGTCTCTTTGTAGCCTTGGTTGTCCTAGAACCCACTATGTAGATCAGGCTAGCCCATGAACTCACAGAGATCCCTCTGCCTCTGGAATCTAAAGTGTGTGCCACCACTGCCCAGCCTTCCATTTAAGAAGTGTATTTCTCTGTGGGGTTACCATGCATGCCTGCTTTCTCCTTACTTGAGAGTTTGAGATAGGAAGATTGTGAGTTCTGGGTTAGGTTTGGCAGCTCTGTCTCAAAAACATAAGTAAATAAATAAACAATGCTTTCAAATTTCCTTCAATTCACATTTCATTCCCCTGTCTTGATTTTAGTGGCTATCCATATAGGTGTTCTCACGTTTGATCTAAAGATGACTGCCGTGAAATCCAGACTCTCCATTTCCTTCTAGGCATGAGTCCTACAAGACTCAGTACAGAGCGATGTTCGTGATGAATTGCTCTGTCAACAGAGAGGAGGTTCTAAGATACAAGAACCCAGGAAACAGGAAGAAAAAGCGGGGCGCTAAGAAGATGAGGTCGAGCCCCGAAGGTCCTGTGGAGACAGACGTGGAGGAAGTCTATCACCCTGTCATGTGCACAGAGTGTTCTACTGAAGTGGCGGTCTATGACAAGGATGAGGTCTTCCACTTTTTCAATGTGTTAGCGAGCCATTCCTGAGGAGCGACAGGTAACTGACTCCACAGCCCTGTGTGAAGCACATACGGACTCTTCCCTATCATATCACTCAGTGACATTGGTTATTAAAGCAGTATTTCATCGTTATGAAAGAATGGTCATCAACCCTTATCTCTTCTCCCTTTTTTCTTTTTAATTTTCCCATGAGTAATGACGGACTGATTATTTTCACTTTTGGTGCATCTTTTTGGTTTTTCGAGACAGGGTTTCTCTGTGGTTTTGGAGCCTGTCCTGGAACTAGCTCTTGTAGACCAGGCTGGTCTCGAACTCACTGAGATCTGCCTGCCTCTGCCTCCCGAGTGCTGGGATTAAAGGTGTGCACCACCACCGCCCGGCATTGGTGCATCTTTGGAGACTTTGGGGCTTTTGATTTATTAGATTAGCTTCCGAGAATTAAATAGTTCTGGAATAAGTATCTGTTTCCTAGTGTTTGGTCCATTTTCTACTGCTATAGCAAAGTACTAGAGGTTGATGCTTTGTAAAGAAATGAGTTTCAGGGATTGTCAGGGATTGTCCCTGGATCCCTCAGTGGAAGAAAAGTATGACTCTCAAGATTTCCTGTGACTGACCCAGACATGCATGCCTACCTGTGCACATGTGCAAATACACACACACAGGACCTAAAAAGTGGAGGAGTGTTGAGAATTTGGTGGGGTAGCAGACAGAAGTGGGGCCAGTAAGTAGGAAGAAAGTTCAGTGCCATGCATCTGAGAATGCCATGATGAAACAAACCTGTTTTGTATGTCATGGGACATTAAATAAACTACTCTGAGGAACTGTTGTTTGTACCCTCTCACAGCGAGCAGTCTTGACACCAGACATTCCCAAGGCTGTTTGGGCCAGGCGCACAGAACTATGCCACAGTGCAGCTCGCTTTAAATGGAGCACAAAATACCTGTTTAAGGGGCTTAAACAGACCCAGTTGAAGTTAATTGTTCCTTCTTCAGCTGGCTGATTGTGTCATGCTCTATTGCTGTGTGATGTGACCTCAGACATAAAGAACAATACACGTTCATTGTCATATTTTTTTTGTGTCAGAAGCCTGGCTACAGTCAAGCAGTGCATTCAACACGAGCTCACAGAGGCGATAAGGAACCTGGTTGGGTAATGCCTCTTGGAGACTTGGGTAGGCAAGTTCCTATTCCCGGTGTCTCAGGCCATTGGCAGAATGTATATCCTTATAGCCACGGGACTAAAATGCCTACCCCCCCCCCCACCTTGCTGGTTGTCAGCCAGGAGGTAGTGAAGTCCCCCCACATTGATTAGCCAGGAGCTGCTCTCGGCTCCCAGAGGCTACCTCCCTCCAAATGTAGAAATACATAAACTATTAAATATCTCTCATTAATTGTTTTATTTTTATTTCGAAGAAACATATATACACACACACACACTTTTATAGTATGTTTTTCTGTGTGGCAAATGTTGACTATGTTTTTTTTTTGTTTGTTTGTTTTCTTAGTTCCTAATCTGAACTAGACACTCCTAGGAGTAGTTACTGCCTCAGGCTTTTGAATCCTTACCAGAGATTTGGAGCAGAAAGAACAGATAAAAGATGCTGTAATTAGGGAAGCTGGACCCTGTTGTGAAACAGTGACCTGCACCCATTTTTCTTTGTAAATAATTTTTGAGCGACTTCTTTTCATTTTTGATATTTGACTATCTCTGACTCACTGGTTTGCTCTGGTTTCTTAGCAGACATGGGAAGTTTTTGTGTTTGTTTTGATTTTTCCTTTACTGGGGATTGTACCCAGGGCCTTATGCATGCCAGGAAGTGATTTATCACAGAGCTATAACCTAGCCAACCAGATACTGATGCCATGTTCTCCTGCCCCACCCCTGGGACAGCCATGACAGGAGTGGGAAGGTGTTTCATAAATAGACCATGGAGCAGCGTCTCTGGGACAGGCCTGGGACTGGTGTCCCAGCACTAGCCTTCTAGCTTGTCTGAATGGGAAAGAGACGAATAGGCACACCATGCAGACAAAGGGGTATTTATTTAGTGGGTTATAGGGGGGGGGGGGGGGGGGGGGGGGGGGGGGGGGGGGGGGGGGGGGGGGGGGGGGGGGGGGTGTAGGACAGACCATTACAGTAATGACACTTGCAAGCCTTATCTAAAGGAGCAAGTTACCCCACCACAGGACTGTGATATGCTAGCATTTAGTTGCTGTTAGAGGAGTTTTCAATTTGTACTATATTGAAAGTTCACCTGAAATCCAGGTAGTATGACCATTTAAGTTTTTTTTTTTTGTTTTTTCTTTTCTTTTTTTGTTTTTTCTTTTTGTGTTTAAAGCTTTTTATCAGATACTTTGTACACAAAGTCAGGACGTAGGACTTTTCTGTGATAAACCTATGTGGTTCTTAGGCCTTTAGAGCTAGTTTGCAGAAGTCGGGGAGAGTTGGAAGCTGTAGGCTAGAGAAGTCTGCTGTAAGCAGAGCTTAACGGGCCATTCTTTGGGAGTTTAGGAAACCAGAATGAGTGGAAGTGGTGGCAGACATCTTTATCCCAGCATTTGGGAGGCAGAGGCAGGTGGATCTCGGAGTTTGTGGTCACTCTAGTCCTCAGTGTGAGTTCCAGGACAGCCAAGGCTACACAGAGAAACCCTGTCTCAGAAAACTGTAGTAAGATCTGGTGCCCTCTTCTGGCCTGCAGAACACTGTATACATAATGAATACACAATAAATAAATAAATAGATAAATAGATAGATAGATAGATAGATAATTTATTCATTATGTATACAACATTCTGCCTCCATGTATGCCCGCACACAAGAGGAGAGTGCCAGATCTCAGTACAGATGGTTGTGAGCCACCATGTGGTTGCTGAGAATTGAACTCAGGACCTCTGAAAGAGCAGCCAGTGCTCTTAACCACTGAGCCATCTCTCCAGCCCCATAAATGAATTAAAAAAAAAAAAAAAAAAAAAACAACAAACTTAAGCTGGCCAGGCTTGCCCTTTCCACACCTGTAACTCACTGTTGCCAATACAGAAGCCGCAGCTCTCATCTTACAGGGAGTAAGAGCTAGTTTATTATGGAGCCATTTTGAGTGACCATGGCCCAGGAACACAGATCCAGGTTACCCCAAATTCCATGTTCCAGTGGTAGCAGTTTCAAGAAGTGCCTATAGTTTTACAGAACAAAGAGAGTCATAAACCAGGGTGAGTTTAAAATTCATCAGTGGGTGCATCAGAGAGGCGGGTACAGGAGATGGGGGAAGCTTTTCTGCAGGCCCCAGGTGGTGTCCACAGGCTTTTGGGTTGGTATTGGTCTGCTGAGATTCCAAAGGGTGTCTGTTAGTCACAAGATGTCAGTCCTGACACAGATGGGTAAGGGATGGCTGCTCCCCAGGGCTAGAACTAGCCCAAGATGAGGTAATTAATTAGTATCTGGACCTGCGACATTCCAGTCTCTCCACAGCACTGAAATTTGAATCACTGTTTCTGCAGACAAAGCTTCTTTTAGGATTTTAGTTCACTCTTCATAGACTAGACTGACTTGAACTCACAGAAACCCATTTGTCTCTGCTGGGGTTAAGTGAGTAAGCCACCAGTCAGTCTATCTTAGTTTTTGGACATAGGGTCTTTTACTGACCTGGAAACTGACTGAGCTAAGCAGGTCAGCGAGTAAGCCCTTGGGATGCAGCTGTCTCCGCTCCCTAGTGCTGGGGTTATGGGCATGCATGTGTGGTCTTTGTTTTGTTTTAGTCTGGTTTGGGGAGGGGGAGGGTGGAGAGATGGCTGTGGGTAAGAGTACTTGTTGCTCTTGCAGGGGACCTGGGTTCAGTTCCTGGTACCCACAAGGTGGTTCATAACTGCTGGCTAGTCTTGGTTGTCAACTTGACAACACTAGAATGAACCAAACGCAAACAGCAGGGCACACCGGGATTTTTCTTAACTGTATTATTTGAAGGAGGAAGACCCACCTTAAATCTGGATCTTCTGAGGTGGGAAGATCCTCCTTAAATCTGGGCCACACCTTTTGGTTGCAGCCTATTTAAAGGGGGGAGGGGGTTGCTCTTTGCCTGCTTGCCCTCACTCTCGGTAGCAAGTTCATTCCTTCACTGGTACGAGCTTACTTCTTGAGGATTCTGCCATATACGGAAGGCCAACTGAGATACCCAGCCTCATGGACAGAACAACTACTGGATTCTTGGACTTTCCATCAGGAGACAGCTGTTATTGGAATAGTCATATACCTATACGCTATGCTAATAAATCATACACACAGGCACGCATGTGCGCACACACACATACACAGTCTATCAGTTCTGTCTTTCTCCAGAGAACCCTGATTAATTCAGTAATCATCTGTAACTCTAGTTCCAGGGAATCTAGTGACCTCTTCTGAACTCTGCCGGGTAGGCATGCATGCGGTGCACATACATACGTGTAGGCAAACTCAAAATGACTTAATCTGTAAATGAGTGAATGTAGGCGATGGGGCTTTGAAAGCTGGTCCTCTTGCTTACCCTCTGAGCCATCTCTGCAGCCCAAACGAGGTAAAATAAAAAGTTGCGTGGAGTGTCGAGTTGACAAGGGGTAGACCTGTGGCAGTTCGTCTTTATTGTAAACATGACTGGATTTAGAATCCCCGCGGAAACACATCTCTGGGTGTGTCTGTGAAAGTGTTTCTGGTCTCTGGCCAGACCACCCTGAACGCACCAGATCTCATCTGTTCTAGGAAGCTAAGCAGGATGGGCCTGGTTAGCTCTTGGATGGGAGACCACCTGGGAATACAGGGTGCTGTAGGCTTAAAAAGGAAGAAGTTTCTAGAAAGGCCTAAGTGAGGAAAGAAGACCCACTTTGAATTTAGTTTGCGCTCTCCAGGGGCTGGCATTCTAGATCAGGAAGAGAAGAGTGAGCCGAACGCCACCATTTCTCTCTCTCCTTCCTGACAATGGTGTAATGTTCCCACTGCAAGCAAGCCTTCCTTGTGGTGATATGCTCACACCGAAAGCCAGAAATAAGCGCTTCTTCCTTTAAATTGCATTTATCAGGTAATTTATCTCAGAAGAAAAGAATAAACAATAAAAGAAACTAACATAACATAATTAAATGTGTATTTTATTTTTAGGGGATGGGGAATGTTAAAATCAGTGTATTTATTTGTTTGTATGAGTGTGTAAAGGCCTCAGGGAGTAGGATGTCCTCTCCCATCACTCTCTGTTTATCCCTTTCTCTCTTCACATTCGGGGCTGTGTTTTCTCGGGCAGGCAGCTGATCAGCGAGCCCTGGCTGTCTTCTGGCCTCTTCCCTTCTTGCAGCTGGGAAAAACAAGCCCTTTCAGCAACACCCAGATTGCTACATGGATTTTGGGATCCAAATTCAGGTCATTGTGGTGCAGAGTAAGTTCTGAGCCACTGAGCCATGTCTCCAGCTCCTCGATTGTTTTGAAACCTATAGAATGTGCCCCTGAGGTGCCCTGTTGACTTCGGATGGTCGGCTGCAGAAGTGTTTGATTCTCCTGGAACTCCCTTCCACCGGGCTCTCTGTTCTTAGATCTACTTGTTTGCAGTAGATAGAGCCTTCTGACTATCCTCATGCTCTCAGGCTTCCTTAAGAAAAACTCGAGGTGGGTGGAACATGGAAATACGGGCCAGTATTCGCAATACTCTAGAGCAGTGGTTCTCAACCTTCCTAATGTGCCACGACCCTTTAATACAGCTCCTCATGTTGTGGTGACCCCCGTAAAATTATTTTGTTGCTACATCCTAACTGTAATTTTGCTATTATTATGAATTTGTAATGTAAATATCCGTGTTTTTCAGCGGTCTTAAGAGACCCCTGTGAAAAGGTTCCACAGTTTGGGAACCACTGCTTTAGAGGGCAAGGCAAGGGGATTGAGTTTAGGCTAAGGTACACTACATAAGTACATAGTGAGTTCCAGGATGGCCTGGGCTATACAATGAGATCAAGGAAATAGAAAAACCAAAGGGCTAAATGTGTGGTATAAGTCCGTAATGCAAGTGACCAGGAGGTCAAACAGAAGAACAAAGTTCCAAGGCAGCCTGGGCTATATAAAGCCTGTATACACACACACAGACATACAGAGACACATAGACAGACAGACACAGACAACCAACAAAGCACAAAAGGAACAAAGATGGGAAAGATTATTATTATTATTATTTACAGTCTGTTTCCAGGTGAGTGGTACATGCCTGTAATACTAACACGGGGAGTAGAGGCAGCAGGGTTAGGGTTCCAAATCACCCAGACTATGTGAGATTCTGTCTCAAAACAATGTTTTATCCCACCTAGGGTGAGATACTGTCCAATACCTCATTATATTGTTTGTTTTTTGGGGGGAGGGGTTCCCTAATTTTATATTCTGGTATACTTTTATTAATTTTATTTGGAAAGTCTTGTTTATTCAATACTTGAAACTCCTTTTTGCTTCTCCTTTTCTCCTTTTCTTTTTCTCCTTTATTTTATTTATTTATTTATTTTTTCCCGAGACAGGGTTTCTCTGTGGTTTTGGAGCCTGTCCTGGAACTAGCTCTTGTAGACCAGGCTGGTCTCCAACTCACAGAGATCCGCCTGCCTCTGCCTCCCGAGTGCTGGGATTAAAGGCATGCGCCACCACCGCCCGGCTCCTTCTTTATTCTTGAGACAAGGTCTTGGTCTGTATCCTGACTGGCCTAGAATTCACGCTGCCCAGGCTGGCCTTGAACTCTTGGTTCTCCTCCTGATTGAGTCTCCCAAGTGCTGGATTTACAGATATCAGGCATCACACTACTATTTTTCTTTTGACTGTAATTTTTACGACATTCTCCTCTTGTTTTAGGAATGTTATTATTCTGGGGAGTTGGTGGCCAGCGTCAGTGCCTCACTCTTCAGCTCTGCCTGGCATTCAAGGTGTGAAGCACAATGCTTGGCTCACTCTTTACCCATGCAATGGTTTAAATGTTGCTGCTTCCTCATATGGCTCCCAAATTTTCAGCATTGGCTTTATATAGAGAACATAAGCAGAATGACTGGAATGAGGAGACCATCAACAACCGC